GGCTAGGGGTTGATGGAGGAACCGGTTGGCTTTGCTTTGCAACTACTTCCTGACGCTTTTGCAGCAGAGGAGAGTTGAGATCAGTAAGCAATTCTTTTATCTGCTTACCGGTCAGAGTTTCGTGCTGAAGCAAAGCATTTGCAAGGGCGTGAAGCTCTTTGTTGTAAACAGTGAGGATGGTTTTCGCATTGTTATAAGCCTTCTCCAATAGAAGTTTCACTTCACTCTCAATGAGAAGCCTAGTTTCAGTGCTCATGCTTTTCCCATTGTCGTCGTAGTTATGTGCCACAAGACCCACCTCTTTGCTCATACCAAATTTCGTAACCATTGCCCGTGCAAGTTTAGTTGCCTGCTCAAGATCAGAAGAAGCACCCGAAGTTACCTCGCTTTCCCCAAAAATCAACTCTTCTGCTACTCGCCCTCCCATACAAACATCAAGCCGCGCAAGCATCTGTTTCCTAGAAATGCTCGTCTCATCTTTATCTGGTAGTTGAGAAACCATGCCAAGAGCCATACCACGAGGCACAATGGTTGCTTTGTGGACTGGAAGAGCACCTTCTGTGTGAATAGCAACAAGGGCATGACCTCCTTCATGGAAAGCAGTCAGCTTTCTTGACTCGTCGGATATAACTGCAGATTTTCTTTCGCTTCCCATCATGATTCGGTCTTTGGCAAACTCAAGATCAGACATTGTCACATCTTTTGAACCATCCATGGCAGCTTTTAGAGCAGCAACGTTGACCAGATTTGCCAAATCAGCACCAGAAAATCCAGGCGTCCCTCTGGCGATGATCATTAAATCGACATCATCGGCCTTAAGTACCTGAAAACGCAACAATGATACAAACAATTATGTCAGTGATCGAAAACCAATTAAATTCACAAAATTCATTTTCTTACAATGGCCAAAACACAAAATTCATGCCACTGCTGAATTACAGGTCACTAACAGAGATGGTTTTACATAATTGAAACCCTCTTGTGCTCATTAAAACAACTAAAATGGACTTACAATTATTTTCTGTCATCTAAAGTACCAAATTGTTAAATTATAAATGAAAGATTTGGTAGTGCTAATTCTGGGGTCTACTAATTACCTAATTTAAGACAGTTAACAACAATCGGGTTTAGGCCAGTACTGCAAAACCTGAGCAGTCTACCGCATAATATAAAATTACCTTTGACATGTGAGACTCCAAAATCTGGCGTCGACCTTCCACATCTGGGTTGGGTACGACAATGTGGCGATCAAACCTCCCAGGTCTAACCAGGGCTTTATCCAATGACTCCGGGAAATTTGTTGCTGCAACAACAATAATTCCTTCATTCTGTTTAAACCCATCCAGCTCTACGAGCATCTGGTTCAATGTCATTTTCATGTATTGCTGGTCCTTCGGATTACGACTTCCTCCAATAGCATCAATTTCATCGATAAAAATAATACAAGGAGAGCACTTCTTTGCAGCACTAAAAAGATCTCTCACTCTTCTGGCTCCAACCCCAACAAACATCTCTTCAAATTCACTACCACTACAGGAGAAGAAAGGCACTCCAGCTTCTCCGGCAATAGCCCTTGCAAGCATAGTCTTTCCTGTGCCAGGAGGACCAACAAGCAACACACCCTTAGGAAGCTTTCCACCCAAACGAGTGAACCTCTGT